CAGCAAAGTGAAATAAGCTCTGTTTTTATCCCCTCGGTGGGGGGTTTGGGGTCCTGAGCGGGCTCTCGTGTGGGGGCAGAGGAGAGTTAAAGGACCAAGGACTCGCCAGCGGCGGCAGGCAATGGCACCCCTGTCTCTGGCAGCCCTGAGTTGCAGTGCAAGAGCGTGCGTTTTGCCGTGCTGAAGGAGCACCGGGCAGTGACGGGGGACGTGACCGCGTTCGACGGATCCATCCTCTACCTGCCCATCCTGCTCCCCCAGGTGAGGGGCGATGCGATCCACACGAAGGCAAGGCTGTTTCAGCCAATTTGGGGGCACAAGGATGTCCCTCCTGCTCCGGCTAACGCGCCGTCTCGCCCTGCAGCCGGTCAGTCTGAAGGCTCAGAGGAGGAGCGACGGGGAGGAGATTGCCATCACCATCCAGATAACCAAGGTCCTCGAACCCAGCTCGGATCTCTGCATCCCCTTTTACAATGTGGTTTTCCGGAGGTGAGGGATGGCAGAGACCCTCCCTGAGGTCCTGGGGAGACATCCTCCTCCTCCTCCTCCCTGCTGAGCCTGAGCCAGTTCTGCTTTTCCTTCCCCAGGGTGATGAGAATCTTAGATATGAAGCTTGTTGGGAGAAATTTCTTTGAACCTGCCCAAGCTACCATATTACAGCATTACAGGTAGGTGCTGGACACAGTTTTCTCCTGCTGCTGCCCAGGCACATGGGTGTGAGAGGGGGATGTCCCTGTCCCCCTGGTAGTAGTGCGAGGCTGGCAATTTGGAAGTCTTTGCCAGGTCAGCTCTCTCGGCCAGCTCTGGTTAGCCTGACCTCAAAGCGCCTGTTTTCTGCAGTGCAATTCAGGGGTTATTAGCTGAAAGCTGGCAGCCAGCTGGGAAATAAATCCCTGTGTGTTTTGAGAGCTCCTTGGCGAGTGGGACGGCTGCCTGGCTCCTTTGGCAGCGCCGTGCAGGCGGCTCTGGTTTTAATCCGGATGCCATAGGGCATCTCCCCCTCCCTGGGCACAGGCTGCAGATTTGGCCGGGATACTCTGTCAGCATCCGGAAGAAGGACGGCGGTCTCTTCCTCTTGGTCGACGCCATCCACAAAGTCATCCGCAGCGATTCTGTCCTGGATTTCATGTAAGAGAGGGTGGAAAAAAACCCCAGAGGAGCCCTGTGGGGTTTTGGGCATGAGGGTGGTTTTCCAGCAGCTGTGTACCCGGGGCCAGCCCTCAGCGAGGGCAATGCTAGCCACGATTGCCAGGCTCATGGCCACTAGTGCTGTTTGGCAAAAGGGGCTTTATTTTTGGGGTAGCGCAGGCAAGGAGCATCAGCCTGAGCCTCTCCTCCTCCTCCTCTCCCTGCCGCAGGCACACCATCTACAAGCAAAGCCTCAGCAGCTTCCAGGACGAGTGCACCAAACAGCTGGTGGGCAACGTGGTCATCACCCGCTACAACAACCGCACCTACCGCATCGACGACATCGACTGGAACAAGACCCCGAGGGACAGTTTCACCATGGCCAGTGGTGAGGAGATCACCTTCGTGGACTACTACAGGTAGGGACCTGCTGGAGCAGCCCTTGGGATGAGTGTCTGTCTGTAGGGAAGGGCTTGATGCTCAGGGTGGGCGAGCAGGACCCACATCTCGCCTGATGCCATCTCCCTGCTGTTTTTCCAGCAAAGCGTACGGGATCACCATCAGGGAGCTGGACCAGCCGCTGCTCATCCACAGGCCCAGGGAAAAACAGACGCCGGAGGGGAAGGTAAGCCAGGCACCGAGGCCTGGGGAGGGAAAACTGGAGACCTAAGGTCTTTTCTCGACTCCTCCAGCCCCTGTCCTGCCCGTGGCTGGGAGGGCAGGGGCTTGCAGCCCCCTCGGGGTGCTGACAGTGCCTGTCCCCCTCCCTGCAGCGTCGCCTGGACATGGTACTGCTCGTGCCAGAGCTCACCTTCATGACCGGGGTCCCTGAGATAAGGAAGGACAGTCGAATGGTGAAGGTCAGAGCATGTTTGCATCTGATGGTCCCTGCTCGCTCGAGCCAGCATTGCCTGGTTTGGAGAGCAGAGCCCCCCCATCCCACACGGCGGTTCCCCAATCCATCTCCTCCCGTGCCCGCCCGCTGCAGGACGTGATGCGGGAGATGCTGCAGAGCCCCAGGCAGCACTACACGCGTCTCACCAGCCTCCTGCGCAGGATCAAGGACAGCCCCGAGGCCTCGCGGGAGCTGATGCGCTGGGGGCTCAGCCTGGACCCCGACATCCACAGGGTAAGGGCTGCGGGGGACCGGTCTCCGAGCTTCCCCTCCCTCCCTGGGAATGGAGGCAACGGCTGTGCCGTGGAGGCACTGGAGCTGCCGTGGGTTTCTGCTCTGTTCAGACCCAGGGCCGAGTCCTGCCCACGGAGAGGATCAACCTGCGGCACAGCTCCTTCATCCCCACCGAGGACCTGAGCTGGAACAAGGAGGTCACGCGAGAAGCCTCCATCTCGGCGGTGAGCCCGCGGCTCGGCCCTTGCAACAATATCCCCTTGTTCGAAAACTGGGATGGGTTTTCTTAGTGCTGGCATCCCGTCTGCCCTGCTCCCGTCTGAGCCTGTTCGAGCTAAAACCCTTCCCTTATTTATATTGGCTTTATGCTTCAGCCTGTTTTTCCTAAGGAGCTTAGAGGTACGTGGCCACGGCGTCTGCTTTCCCACCTCCTCCCAGCTGGGTTGAAGGCTTTCAGAGTGCAGGAATTGGGTGTCATCATGTGCCCTTTAGGTTCCTCAAGGGCTGCGTTCCCTCTCCCAAATTTCCCTCTGTGCTGCAGGGCTGCATGTTTTGGCAGCCGTGGCCCCGAGTCAAGGGCTGTCCTCGCCTCCCTGCTAGATCGCCATGAATTACTGGCTGCTGGTTTACCCGAAGCGCCTGCAGGACCTGGCGAAGGATCTGGTGGCCGCCATGGAGAGCGTCTGCGGCCCCATCGGCATGCACGTCAGCCGGCCCGCCTTGGTGGAGCTGAAGGACGACCGCATCGAGACCTACGCCAAGACCATCCAAAGCGTTTTGGGTAGCGAGGTGAGGAGGGGGACTCGGGGGGCAATAGCGCAAGGTTAACGTGTCTGCTGGGGAGGGCTGCACGACCGGTGGGTCTTTTCGGATCCTGGCGCATCCGATGCTCGTGCATCGCCCTCCCCTGCTGTCCTTCCCCGCAGGACAAGGTGCAGCTGCTCCTGTGCATAATCTCCAGCAGCCGGGAGGACTTGTACGCGGCCATCAAGAAGCTGTGCTGCGTGCAGTCCCCGGTGCCCTCCCAGGTGGGCGAGGGGCTCAAGCGGAAGGGGACCACCGGGGCAGGGAAGCCGCGGGCATCTCCAGCCTGGCTTTTTCCCTGTTTTTTCCCCTCCGCAGATCATCAACGCGCAGTCCCTCACGGGCCAGTTGGGCAAGATGAGGAACGTGGTCCAGAAAGTCCTGCTGCAGATGAACTGCAAGCTGGGCGGCGAGCTCTGGGGGGTCGACATCCCTCTGGTAAGGCGGGCGAGACTGCGAGACATGCATGCAGTGAGTTTGCAAGCTCCGGGGTGTAAACTGTTGTGGTCACGGACTTCCCTTTGGGGATGCGGATGAAGAGTCTTGTAGAATTGGGGTCGGTGTCTCCACGTTGTGCGTGCCATGTCCCTCGTGCCTGGAGGGCTCCAGGCAGGGCAGCCTGGGGGTGTCTGACTTAGCCCTAATTCCCACCTGCCTTTTTTCCCCTGCCCCCAGAAACAGCTGATGGTCATCGGGATGGACGTCTACCACGGCCGCAGCGAAGGGATGCGCTCCGTCATCGGCTTCGTGGCCAGCATGAATCAGTACGTGGTGTCCCGGGGGGACGGCTTTCCCCCCGCTCCGCCCTGGGGGTGCGGGGGGGGTCCCACACCCACCGCTGCCTCTCCTTTGCCGGGAAG